AAAAAATTTTTTAACATATTAAATAATAAATATATATAAAATTAATATAACAAAAAATAAAATAAAATTAATATACCAAAATAAAATAAAATTAATATAATAAAAAATATACATTAAACTAGTAAAATATATCCTCCATAAGTTTATGAGTTTTTAATTCCCATTTCTTCTTCTAACAAGTATTTCCATGCCGTTGGCAGAGCATTAGCATCCTTTGCGTTTAAGCAATTATTATTTATTTTACTCTTATATATCTGCATTTTTTCTATGCCAAATGCAATAGTCAGAGAATGGACCGGTCTAACTATCCTTGCATCATCCCACTTAACATTTGCTTTATCTGATTGTGCCATGACTGCCAAGATGGTGTTGTTGTTCCCTTTACTAACGTCATACATGTGCTCCTTTAAACGAACCACCAGATTTCTCGTGGTGACACCCACATAATCTTTTGCCACTCCTAATTGTTGATTTTCAAAGGGAATTCTATAAACCCCAGCCTTTTCCTTCATTCCTATCTTATCCTTATCATTCCTTAGCAATTTGTAGATGTTTGGCGCTCATTTATAAACAGTTCTTGTGCTCTTATATTTACATAGTTCTTCCATTATTCCTTCTACCTTCCTGTTGTATGTAAACTTATTAAACCTATTTTTTAGCTTATCCCATTTGTTTGTCTCTTGTTTGTAACCTTTGACCAATCCGTTAATTGTAGATGTTTTGTATCCTAAACTTTTCGCAATCTTCCTGATTCTGTTAATCTCTCTAATTCTATCCTGTACATTGGTGCAATATAAGAATGCTCTTTTAATAAGCGCCCTAAACGATGCCATCTTGTATCTAAACGGATCATTAGACCATGCCAGGATATATGGCGGAGAATGTGTGGGTTTTAGATACACTGCCGTTTGTACATACCCTTGTTTAAATCTTATGTTAATATCCAAAAAATGGATATGTGTATGGCTTTTTTGTTCAAGTTTTAGTTTTAACCCATGCTTATTGTTATTTATTGTAATTAAAAATTCCTCAATCCTTCAGTTATCCTTCCAAACTATCAATACGTCATCAACATATCTTTTGTATAATATAATGTCCTCCATGTAGTTTTCTAGAACCTCCTTTTCTAGTTGACATACCACTAATTCGCACAAGAGACCCAACATGGGACTACCCATTGAGACTCTTTTCCTTTGTTTGTACACTGTCCCATTGAACGTAAAAAAGGATTTGTAACACATCAAATCTGCCAATTTATTTAAGTCTTCCATATATGCTGTTAATCCTGGATTATGTTGTACCATAAAATTAACAAGAGTATTGAAACAAGATGTTAAATTCATGGAAGGGTACAAGCTTTCAAAATCCATAACCATTCCTATTTCATCATTCATCAGTGCCAAACCTTATAACTCTTTTATCAACTTATTTGGATCCTGTGTTACATATATATTATCTTCCATCATTTCATATATACTTTTTTAATCATTTCTCTAATATAAAGGTTGGAGCACCACATTTCTTGACTACCGGTCTAATTTCTTTGTTTTGCTTGTGTGTGTTTTTGCAAATGCAAATATTCTGGGTATTCGGGGGCACGGGTTATGTGACTTTTTTAATAACGTCATGTACTTCGCGAGTGGAGTTTTTTCTAGCTTTTTAACTTTGTTGTTTGTTATTGTTACAATCTTTTCGTCTACGATATCACATTCCGTTTTTTTAATATAATCTTCAATGGCTTCATTATACCTTCCTCTTTCCATAATCACCATTTGTTTAGTTTTGTCGGCTTTTGTTAACACTAACTGAATTTTCGTTAGCCATTTTTTTGTATACTTTATATTTAATTTTTCCCTACAAACTACCTTATGTCTTTCCTTTTTTCTGAAAACCATCTTCCATCTAAAATAATCTCTTTCTACTTCATTAAGACCGGCCATACCTCTTTCCATTT